CATCACTCAGGGTGTCAGGTAGAATTTCCTTAACCAGGTCATCTGATGCTGAGGAGGAAGACAGGAAGGCTGGGACAGCAATTTGGGTGGCGGTGCGGACACCCAAGCCACCGAGCCTGACAGGAAGAGTGGCTTGTTTCCACTGGCATTCGTTGAGGGAGAGGTTAACAACTTTTTCCAGCATGGTCTTCAGTAGGAGGTCATACTCGTCAAGCTTTGGGTTGTTGTAAGATGGGGCGCACCTCAGAAAGTAGGTTAGCCTCGGAAGGGATAGGCATTTGGTGAGGAGATAAAAAGCATCGTGGGCATCGATGTCATCTATTCTGTCTTCCATCCTCCTAAGGTCTGCGATTTTCTTGTCGAGGATCTCCTCAATGGCGTTAGACCCGAGGGGAGCTCCAAGGAGGGTGCTGTTCTCGGCCCTAATGACATGGGCTCCAGGCAAGGCAGACCTTATTCTAGCTACGATGTCTGGGTTGGAGGAGACTACTTCGCACTTGGAAGGGTTCAGGACGAGACCCAGGCTTACTTCTTGCTCCCTTATTTTCCTGATATCTGACAAGAGGTGGTCTACGGTGCCAGCTATAGTGCCATCATCCAAAAACCAGATGTTGAACTCGCTGGACAAGCTTTCGGTGATTTCTTTTAAGACTAAGCAGAAAAGAAGGGGAGCAAGAGGATCACCTTGCTAGTAGCCAGAACGCACTTCTCAGCCTACTATGCAAGGCCCGATTTGCCTAATAAGCCAAGTTTTCCTGAATTAATATATTTTCTCTATTTTTTTGCTAATGAAATGATAAAGCTACCCATTTCATTATGTATGAGGTCAATTTTGTTTTATTGTAGTTAAAATTAACGTAGATATATGACCGAACCTAACCAACCCTACCTAACCTATCTTCATAGGTTAGGTTGGGTTAGGTTGCCGAAAAAGGTAGGTTAGGTTAGTTAGGTTAGGTTAGATCAGCCATATATATATATATATATATATATATATATATATATATATATATATATATATATATATATATATATATATATATATATATATATCATCATAATCAAAACATTAATTAGGCAATTAATGTTTTTTCGACTACCTAACCTACCTAACCTAACCTACCTTTTTCGGCAACCTAACCCAACCTAACCTATGAAGATAGGTTAGGTTAGGTTAGGTAGGGTTGGTTAGGTTCGGTCATATATCTACGTTAATTTTAACTACAATAAAACAAAATTGACCTCATACATAATGAAATGGGTAGCTTTATCATTTCATTAGCAAAAAAATAGAGAAAATATATTAATTCAGGAAAACTTGGCTTATTAGGCAAATCAGGCCTTGCATAGTAGGCCGAGAAGTGCGTTCTGGCTACTAGGTACGACATATATATATACACATATATATACATATATATACATATATATACATATATATACATATATATACATACATACATACATACATACATACATACATACATACATACATACATACATACATGTACATATATATACACACACACATGTAAATAAAATTGAATAATAAATTAAGGAAAAGAAAAAGACAACCCGCCGAGCAGTGGGCAGAGAGCACCACACCAGCCAAACAAAGACACCAAAAGAGCACAAAAACTGCACCAAAAGGCCCACCTCGACAACAAAAACCTAAAGCCCCGTCACGACCACAACATGTGCCAAGACCCAAAAGATCAGCCAACAAGCCAGGAAGATCCCGGAACCCCAGAAGGCAGAACCGGGTCACAAACGAGGTAACAAAGCCCTCTGAACCCACAAAGGGGTGGCCCTAGAGGAAGAAACTTCCGGAACAAAACCAAAGAACCCAAGGGAACCCGGGGGAGCCCAAACTACCACATTTGCTGGCAGAATTGCACCACTGAAGGGCAAAGCACAGCACCCAGACAGACGTTCCCCCCCCCCCCCCAGGGAAACGGCCAAAACAGACCAAAAACCGAGGGATAAGGTGTGGGAGCAAGCGTAAAGAGACAGGGGCACTGAGCCCAAACCCTAGGGCCCAGATCCAAAACAGACAGAAAACGCAAAATCCGGTGTAAAAACCAACACCAAAGTATTCCCAGAGGAACAGACGATGGGCAGAACACCCCAGAAAAACAAAGAAACGGCAACAGGAGGATAAAGCCCCTGAAATGAGGTGAAAACTCACCCAAAACACCAGCTCGCACGCCCAGGCATTGGTAAACAAATGGCAACGCCGCCAGTGGCCAAGCGGAGAATTATCCGCAAAAAAGAAAATGACCACCAAAACAAAGGAGCCAGACCGACGCAAGAGCCAAAAACACGCCAGCAGATGTGGGAAGGAAGCAGACTAGAAGGTCAAAAAACCCCGCCCAGAAGCAGAAAATCCCTGCAAGGGCAAACAGCCCCAAAATTGCAAGCGGGCATCCCCCACAGCCCCGGGAACCTGCAACAGAGGCCCCGGGGCAGAGCAAGAGTTTGTGAGCATCCACACCCTCTGCCCTTAAAGAAAAGGAAGAGTCCAGGGGAAAGGAAGCAAAGAAAGGGCCGCTGGTAAGCCCCAGAAGCCTTGGCAGGAGAAACAGTTTAACAATTGTAAACAAAGCCGCCAAAGATTGAGAAAAGATGTACAGGTTCGTATGTGCTTGCGTAACTGCTTCGTGAATCTGGACCCAAGAAGACTCTGGAACCCAATACACCCAATACAGGGAAGAAGAACTGAACTCAAACAAGATTGGATCCATTACAGAAGCAAAGTCCGGGTCTCGCAGGAGGTACACACCAAGGGCCTTCCGAACGTCCGCAGGGGAAATCCTGGAGGTGGAAAACCTCCAGAAGGACGAAGCCGTGGAACCCAAGGGAATCCAGAAACGAACCCAAGTGGAGCCGAACCCATATCAAACTCGTACAGGGGATATGAAAATCCCGAACCCTGCAACAACAGACCCTGCCCAGAAGGCACCATGGCCCAGGCAAGATCAAACGTGGCCCCAAGCACCCCTGGCCGACCCCACCCAAGCCCTGGAAGCCTCAAAACAAGGCTCCAGAATAGAGCAAGCCTCCATGCACTCCAGCCTTGAAAAAAAGCAGTCCAAGAAAAAGACAGCAAAGAAGGAAGGGGGGTCTGCTGGGAAGACTCTGAAGCCTCATCAGGAGGATCTTGTCTCAAAGGCCCCAGTCCCTGTATCAAATGGGACAGCCCATGGAATCACCCCAGTCTCATCCCCAACTAAATCCCGCCCTGACTCCGAAACCCTCAGACGTTTGGAAGCCGGCAGCAGGGAAAGAGCAGGGCGAACCACACTGACAGGGAAAGGCCCCAGAGCATGGACTGAACCAATGTCTTAGCGACCAACACCCCCAAGTCCGCGTCCCTAAATCCAAAATGGGGCAGCCCCGGGGAATTTGAGCGGGCAACCAATCTAGCACATTGCAACAACCTAAACCTAGCATGCAATGTGACCAGCTGCTTGACCCTTAACATCTCCCGAAGAAGAAGAATGGGTAAACTGGATAACAAGTTGGGAACAAGTCTCGCACGATTCCGGGTCGAAGGTGTCGTCGCCCCAACAAGCAGAAAGACAGAGGCAAAACAGATGATTGTCACCCTGAGACAAGGGCAACAACCTTCAAACTTCAAGAGGTGGCAGAGGGTGATATCCATCCATGAAGTGGCAGAGGGTGATATCCACCCAACAAGCGGCAGTGATATCCACCCAACAAGTGGCAGTGTGTGATATCCACCCAACAAGTGGCAGTGATATCCACCCAACAGGTGGCAGTGTGTGATATCCACCCAACAAGCGGCAGTGATATCCACCCAACAAGTGGCAGTGTGTGATATCCACCCAACAAGTGGCAGTGTGTGATATCCACCCAACAAGTGGCAGAGGGAGACAGAACAAATGACCACTGGTTTTTAGCAAAACCAAAGGAGATTCCTCAAACTTTCAAGTAGCAATGAAGGCTCAGAGGGCTGATCCCTAATGGGACACACCAAAGACACACAGTGCTTAACGGAATGAAGATAAAGACCAAGTAGGGCACCTAGGCATTAGGAATGCTTACTGAAAGAACTGATAATGAGTGTATCCTTAAGGATAAACGCAGCTGCAAAAGACATCAGCAGCGTGCCTTATGTACAAGCACACAAACCCTATTGCACCCCTCTTGAACAATAAGCTCCAGAATGCCCCCTGCCTCAGAGTCTTGCAGATGAGCCAAATCCCCTTTAACTACGCTGGACAAGGCACCATACACATTCAGCCAACCTCTATGGAATGAACACCCTAACCTACCAGGAAAGTCACCCTAACAGGGCATGGGCATTACTAGACAAATTTTTAGGGAAGGGCTGCCTTAAGCACATTCAGCTCGAAGTGATCAATTTCTGAAGTCTAAAAAAGAAATGAGGTTAAACACACTAACGAGAAGCAAACAATAAATCACAGAATGATAAACATGCAAATGGGGCACCACAGGACAAAGTCCAAAGGATGGCCACCACTTATCTAAACATAGTTGGGACCCAAAAGGTCAGCAACTCAAGGTTAGACCAAATAGTTGGACATCAGAATGATGAATCTTGACATGCAAAGCCGGCAGCTTCCGGTGGTGTTATCACCAACCTGGTCAGCTGTAACTAGTGGGATTCACACTAGCTACTGGGTGAATCATCGTAGTCTCATTTGCTGCTTTGTTTCTTTTCTGTGTCAATCTTGCAGTTGTCTATTTTGCTCTGCTTTATTTCTAGATGTTGCGTTTAGTACGGGTGATCATTACAATCCCAGGCTCCTTATGACTCTGAGAGGGCCCGGTTGTGGCTCTCGTCTCCGGTAGGCATTTAAGGACTTGTAGAGCTAATGCGACTCAAAAGTATTGGGTTACCTTAGTACAGCTAGCTAAAGGGAGCTACAGAGGACCGTCCCCCCCTACCCCACCCCATCAAAGCTGTATGGATCTTCAACTTTCATGTATAAGACAAAGATACAACACGAGAATACCTTGAGGCTGGACCTGCTGGAAGCCATGAAGAGCTGAGCCATCTGGCATCATAATGAGCCCAGGGACCAGCTGCCTGCCTCCACCAACTGGCGGTCCTCCCAGCTGACCTATATTATTCACACCGCCAACAACTGCTGCATCTGAGCCACGCTGGTCACCACCATCTTCCAGAAACGTTACCTACAACACAAAATAAGAAGTAACATACTATTGCTTTTCCCTTCACTTGTTATGCATTTACTAAAACTCATTCATCACAATTTTTTATTCAATTATTGTAGATTGGCAAATAAATCAGAGTTATATGTTAAAAAAAAACAGCGTTGAATGTAATGAAACGCCATTTTCTGTGGAGAGCCTCTTCGGCTCCCCGGAGCTATATCGGGCTGATGTGTACATATTAGACCGTGGCAACAGTCAATCGAAGGAGTTCTAAGCCTACTGGGGACCAGAGCCAGAACCTGGCCCCCCTCAAGAGAGGCACGAGGAGCAATGGCCTAAAGACACCCCCATGTAATTGGAAGCAGTCTTTGTCTGCCATCTACCAGGTCAGGCACCCAGAAAGGTAGGAGTTTCAAAACAAACTACTGCTAGTCAAAAAATGGCAAACCAAAAGCCGAACTAACAAACAGAACTCCCCAATCAATCAAAAACAAGGAAACAAACTTTGCATGACGCCACTACAAGGAGGCATTTGCATGACGCCGCTACAAGGAGGCATTTGCATGACGCCACTACAAGGAGGCATTTGCATGACGCCGCTACAAGGAGGCATTTGCATGACGCCACTACAAGGAGGCATTTGCATGACGCCGCTACAAGGAGGCATTTGCATGACGCCACTACAAGGAGGCATTTGCATGACGCCACTACAAGGAGGCATTTGCATGACGCCACTACAAGGAGGCATTTGCATGACGCCACTACAAGGAGGCATTTGCATGACGCCACTACAAGGAGGCATTTGCATGACGCCACTACAAGGAGGCATTTGCATGACGCCACTACAAGGAGGCATTTGCATGACGCCACTACAAGGAGGCATTTGCATGACGCCACTACAAGGAGGCATTTGCATGACGCCACTACAAGGAGGCATTTGCATGACGCCACTACAAGGAGGCATTTGCATGACGTCACTACAAGGAGGCATTTGCATGACGTCACTACAAGGAGGCATTTGCATGACGTCACTACAAGGAGGCATTTGCATGACGTCACTACAAGGAGGCATTTGCATGACGTCACTACAAGGAGGCATTTGCATGACGCCACTACAAGGAGGCATTTGCATGACGCCACTACAAGGAGGCATTTGCATGACGCCACTACAAGGAGGCATTTGCATGACGCCACTACAAGGAGGCATTTGCATGACGTCACTACAAGGAGGCATTTGCATGACGTCACTACAAGGAGGCATTTGCATGACGTCACTACAAGGAGGCATTTGCATGACGCCACTACAAGGAGGCATTTGCATGACGTCACTACAAGGAGGCATTTGCATGACGCCACTACAAGGAGGCATTTGCATGACGTCACTACAAGGAGGCATTTGCATGACGTCACTACAAGGAGGCATTTGCATGACGTCACTACAAGGAGGCATTTGCATGACGTCACTACAAGGAGGCATTTGCATGACGTCACTACAAGGAGGCATTTGCATGACGTCACTACAAGGAGGCATTTGCATGACGTCACTACAAGGAGGCATTTGCATGACGTCACTACAAGGAGGCATTTGCATGACGTCACTACAAGCACCGCGTATCTGTCTGCGCAACCCCCCCTTCCCCGGGAGGGAGACAGGGGGAGGGGGGGGGGGTTCCAGACCTCCACGCCAGAACCTCTCCTTTGTTCAGAGGCTGAGTATCAAAAACAAAAAATGGCTGACCAGAGGTAGGGAGGGATGCTGGGGAACCTTCAGGTCCCACCCAGAAAATGGCTTTTCATTACATTCAATGCTGGTTTTCTGTGGAGAGCCCCTTCAGCTCCCCGGAACTACCTAACCAAAGCTAAGAAAAAAAGGGACTAGCCCGGGAGGCGGTCGTCACTCGCTCCTCAACTCAAAGTCGAGACAACTGGCTGCAACCTGCGACCCAAGGCTATACATGCCCGAGAAGGACTAGGAACATAAACAAGGTAACGTGCAGCAAGGACCTTGTTCGACCTCCAAAAGCCCTGTGCCCAAAAGATAGACCATTCCCTCTCCGAACCGAGCCACAGAGGCCAATGCCAACAAGAAGAGCCGTTGAAAAACAGTCCTGAACCGAGGGGGCCACCCCAAACCAAGGAGAAGGGAGAAGAGAGCACCCGGTGCAACGACCAGGACAGCTCAGGCGGTGCATGAGCAGGCCGGAGGTGAAAACAATGCCTGAGAAAGCTTGGGGAATGGAGCAGAAGTGACATCCACCCCAAATGCAAGCTGCAGTGGCTCCACAAGCACCACCTGAAACGAGGCGACAGTATCTGGCATATGAAGACGGTCCTGAAACAACCAAGAGAGAAAGGACAAAACAACCTATGAGGAGACAAGTGCCAAAAATTTCAGCCAGGAAATTTCATACTGCCGTCGAGATGAAACTCACAGCTGAGATACCAACTAAGCCACCTGATCACCATACAAGTGGTGATAAACCCACGTTAAAAAAACCAGACACAGCAGCCACGTACCGGAATGGACCAATCTGCTGAAAGAGGCGGAGCCGCGGGACGACCCTCGGGCTCGAACATCAAGCAAGAAGCGCCTGAAGCTGGCCGGGCTGGGCTGGCCACCTAAGAGCCAACAGGACTACTCATCCCCGGTAAGTCTCTCTAAGCTAACCAGGACCCGAAGCAACAACCGAACCGGTAGGAAGAGGCACAGGTAACCCCAACTCCACCAGTCCGATCGAAAGGCATCAACCCCGACGACCTCCCAGTCTGAGAAGGGCGCCACAAACACTGGAAGACGCCTCGATCAAGTGGATGCAAAGAGGTCCACCTCTAGGTGCCCGTATGTCTGGCAGGGTCAACTGAATGAGTTTGTGTCGACTGTCCATTCCTTGGATATAGGAATGAACTGAGATAGGCCATCCGCCAGGACGTTTGACACCCCCTGAACGTGAGCCGCCAGGAGAGCCAAACCCCAAGAACTCGGCAAACGAGTCACATGAAGTGGCCAGCCCCACAAAGCCAAGGACTGCATTGAACCGCCGCAGTTCAGACAAGGAACCACCGGGAAGCAGTCCGAAGGGAGCCGGATCATTGCTCCACGAGCAACACGAACCCTCTGAAGCGAATGCCACACCACCACGAACTCCAGCGCCGTGCTGTGAACCCGACTGACAGACGGATCCCACTGACTCTGGCCATCCTGGTGAGCACTGGTCACAAAACCACAGCTGAGAGACGAGGCATCCGTGAACACATCGAGCGACGGCTCGGGGAGGCGTCAGGGTATAGAACCCCGAAAAACACTCAAGAGGAAGCGGGCGACGCAGCAGCCGACGAAAGGCTCCCGGGAGCCGAAAACAGAGAATCACGAGAGTGGCGGCACAAGGGATGCCCCCGAAGAAACCAGAACATCCGCCTGAAGCCAGATCCAACCCAACGGGTAGACCAGCACGGTCAAGATCAGGCTCCTGCAAAGCCGATCAAGCAACTGGCATGCGACCCGGGTGCCCACTAAAAACAGTCGTAAGCGGAACCGCAGCCGCATCAACGCCGCAAAAGGGAGAGACAAGGAAGCAGTCCGAGAGTCCAACACAAGACCCAACCCAGCCCGAACCTAAGAGGGGAACCAAATGGGACTTCTTCCAGTACACCAAGAACCTGAACCCAGTGAGCTGGTAAGGAACCAAATCCCTGGCGAGCAGACATGCGGAATGGCTGGGAGCCCATATCAGCCAATCGTCGCGGTAAGTCAAAACTCAAACAGGTCGCCACAACCCGGTTAAGGCGTGTGGACACGCGAGGTGCCAGATCCAAACTGGAAGGAAGGAAATGAAAACGGTAAGTCTGTCACTCCACGACAAAACCGAACTAGTCCGTGAACACTGGGTGAATTGGGACGTGCTAATACGCGTCCCAGAGGTCCACAAACACCATCCAGGCACCCGGCATCAAAAGCAGCCGGACCCGAGAGAGTGGTCATCTGAAATGAGGGACAAAAGACCCAGGGAATCAGATGGGACAAGTCCAGTATGACTTGCAAATCTGCCCAGTCCCGTTTCAGAACTAAAAACAAGCGGGAAACCCTTTCCAGGATGACCCGAATTACCCACGAATCGTGGGACCAGGCGAGAACAAACAGCGCGAGCCTCCCCCCTACAGCTCCGCCAACAGGGCAAACGGTGAAAGGGCCGACGACCCCTACAAGAGCCCGACTGACGCTTAAACCTATCACTGAGCCATCGACTCTGTATGAGGGCCAGGCCCGAATCTGGCACTACTGGCTTATGTCTACCGAAAGAACCCCGAGACCTGGCGCGACCCCTCAGGGCAGGACCTCCACAGCCCCCCCGTCCTCGGAGAACCTACAAATCAGACATATGCCGTCAACAAGACAAAACCATCTGCAGAAAATACAGGTGGTTTCCGCCACAGACTGCAAACAGCAACGGACAAAAAAAGCAGGGTTGAATTTAATGAAATGCCATTTTCTGGGTGAGCCCCGGAGGCTCCCTGGAGCTTATCGGGCTAATGTATGTTATATTAGACCGGGACATTAGCTATAGAGTTCAGACCAACTGGTCCCTCCTCCCCCTGTCCTCCTCCTCCCCCTCCTCCCCTCCTCCTCCTCCCCCTGTCCTCCTCCTCCCCTCCTCCTCCTCCCCCTGTCCTCCTCCTCCCCCTCCTCCCCTCCTCCTCCTCCCCCTGTCCTCCTCCTCCCCCTCCTCCCCTCCTCCTCCTCCCCCTGCAACCTCCCCCATCAGAGAGGTTGCAGGGAGCAATGGCCCTGGAAAAAAACCCTGTTGTTGGGGGTTTTCCTTATCTGGCATTGACTGGGATTAGGCACCCAGAAAGGTAGGTATAACAAAACAAACCCCACATGGAAAGAAACTAACAACAAAAACCAAACAGAGGAAGAACTCCCTACAATCCCAAGGAAACAAGCAAAGAAGCAAACGTCACACACTACTGGCGCACCGCTCGTCCACGAAGCCCTCCCCTTCCCGAGAGAGGGAGAAGGT